CTGAAATTTTTAAAAAATTTGGGACTTAGGTGTAATTTTAAAAATTTCAAGAATTTTTTAAACATGCCCCCACTGAAATTTTCTTAAAGTATAGGGTATATTAATATAATTTTCAAACCCTTAAAACTCAATTTTGGCAACTCCAGCTCCTCCTCATTTTTCATCACCTGCTTTTTTTTTTCCCCCCAAGTCATCTTCGTCATTTTCGTAATCGGTCCAACTTCCAGTCCAGTCCTCTTCTTTCTTTTATTTAAGTTTCTGTGTTACTTTCTTTGGTGTAATCATCAACTAATTAGTCAAGGAGAGGTAAATTAGTCAACGAAGCAGCCCCTTTTCTTTGTTAGTTCCTTTGGTGAATTCAATCGTTGTGCAAATCAAATTTGGAAAAACCCTGGAAGATTATGTTGAAGTCAAAGAGAGAGGTAATTCATTAACCAAATTTTTTGATAGTAGTATTAACACTAATCTAAAATCAAATTTATTATATTAAAAAATTAGTTTAGTTCCTATAGCATTGATGGTTGTTTGGTGTATTTTTTATGGACTTATGTAGGTTTTCTTTGTTTCTGTCTTGGTTCACTACTTAACTATTTTTTACTTTTGTTGAAGTCTCCTGTTCAAATTGACTATCTGAAATTCTTGGTTAGTACTATTTTTCTTTCCTATGATTAAATTGCTTTAATTGATTTCTTGAAATTCTAGTTTTTATTATATTTTGAATTTATGGATTATATTTTGATTATGTGTAGTCCATTATTTGATGTTCGAGAGTTGGGAGCTCTTTTTGTATAGGATCTCGAACACTAAATAATACTTTTTATGTGAAATTTTTTTGTTGCCATTTTTTGTACATCACTCCTATATATGAGTTACGCCTCTAAATGACATTCTTTTGACATACCTATATTTATAAACAGTTTATCGAGAATACATATTTTGATGAAAATAATGTTACAATTATACCATTTTTTTATCTGAAAAAAAAAGTTACAAAGTTTTTAAATTTCAATAGGGACATCACTCCTAGGTTGCCCCTGATTTAGATCTCTTCCAATACACTTTTTTTTTACAATCTGGTTTCGATAGTAGACCAACTATTGTGTTTTGAAGGTTGATCGATTTAGACACAGGAGATTCTACTTGAATCTATGATAAGTAATCCAGGTAATATTTTTGATAAAATCATATATTAATTTACAATTTAAGGTTCATTTCATGTTAAATATTATTTGTTGTTGATTAAACCAACATGAAATTGACCTTAAATTATAAATTTTTTTTGTTGTATATAAACTTTAAAATTTGTATTTTAACCCATAAAATTTAAATACAGATTTTTTCACACCATAGCGTATTATTTCTTACTATATCATTTAATATATTTTCTTTTGGTCAAGATTCAACTACACATATTTAAACCAAATCAATTGTTCATCCCCACTTTTTTAAAAAAAAGAATTGCATACCTCTGTTTGTTAAACTCAAAAAACTTTGGTTCACATGAAAATAAATAAAAAAATTGACAAAAAATTTTGAAAAATTGATAGTTTGAAAAAAATTTAAAAATTTAGTACCAAAGTTATAACAAATAGAGAAAATATTAAAAAAAAAACTAAAAAAATAATCTATATAGAAACCAATATCAATGAGAATTTTAGAAGAATTTAGGCCCTGAATCAATTAAGATTTAATTTCAGGCACATATATGAAACTCAAATAAAAAAGACCTCAAATCGTGAAGTGCTATTTTTTATTTATATTAAGTGTTATTTACAAATTATGAAGCATGTGACAAAATACATGTTGTCAAATATATAAAAATTTTGAAATAATTTTATGAAATAAATAATTGTATAACATGTAGTTTCATATGTTTTATGGAGTAAATAATAAAAAAATAACACTTGAAAAACATAAAAAAAATAAGATAATAATATGAGAGAGAGAGAGAGAGAGAGAGAATATAATGTAGATATAAGGAGAGTTAAATGACTGATAGGAGTCTTGAAAAAGTTGGCATGAAAACCGTCAGATCAATAATCGTCAAGCGATTTAAGCTGCGAAGGAATTCAAAATATTTTAGAAATCTAATAAGTAGGAAAGACAAAAAATTATATGTATATGTATATGTATCACCTAAAAATTATCAATATGTGGTATTAGAATTCAAGTAGAGTTTGTATAATTGAATGAAAAAAAAAAGAATGTGTTGTTATAGGAATAAAGTTTATCTATCAAGTCATAGAGATAAAGTTATCTAACTAATATTTTGATTAAGTTATCTAGGTAATATTTTGATAAAATTTATCTACCTAATATTTTAAAAGTCAAGTAGGTATGAAAGATAAGAAAATATGTAGGTATAATTGACTTTATAGATATAATTAAAAATGAAATAAAAAATCAAAAAAAATTTCAGACATTTATAGATAGTATAAATTAAAATTCCATACGGTGGGTGGGGCGTAGGTGGGGTCGGGGAGACTGAAGAGCATAGATTGCGGTAAGGGGCAGAAAAAGTCAATTTTGTTTTTCTGTAGAAAGTCAAATATTTGACGCGTCGAAGGATAATTTTTTGGCAAGTAATTCTATTGGTTTTCAAATAGCATTTTTCCAATTTCTTCTGGAAGCAGATGAAGGGTTCTAGCACAAAAACAAAAACAAAACAAAACAAATGGAGAATCTTCAAACTACACCCACCCCAAGTCTTGGAGTATTTTGTTTTTGAAGTCATCGTTTTATTCAAATTTGAGTTAACATTTAAGAAAAAGAAATTTAATTTAACGTAAAAAACATTAAATATTAAAATTCAACTTTGAGCGATAATAAACTCAAATTTAAAAAAATGGTGAAATATAACTAAGAGATTTTTAAATGAAAGTAAAATCTGATCATCAAAAATTTGAGTAAATATTTGAGTCTTACTTGATTTAAGTAAAAAATTGAGTCTCTTTTCATTTAATATAAATTTGAGTAAAAGATTGAAATTTGTTTTGAGTCTCAAGGCCGGCTCCACAGCATTAAAAAAAAAAACATGGGCTTTAGGCCCCAAATTTTTAGGTACATTACTAATCCATAAAAAAATTAAATTTTTTAAATTTTAAACCCTAAAAAAAAGGTTCCAAAATATTAAGTACAATCAACATTTTTATTGTAATAATTTGGATACATGATTCAATTCATAACATTAAAAATTTAAAAATCATAAGTTAAAAAAATAAAAAATACTCAAAAATCAACTCATATTTACCCTTACTCTCTCTCTCTCTCTCTCTCTCTCTCTCTCTCTCTCTAAAAATTAGTACAAAATATTAAAAAATAAGTTAAAATTAAACTCTCTTCTAATAAAAAACAAAAAAAAAATTAAAATATTTTTTCAATAACACTAGCACGTCCTTCTTCGGTCTCTTTCTCATATAATAAACTGAAAATAAAATATTTTTTTTTAAAAATTATTAATAAAAAAAAAAACTTCATTTAGTGTTTTCGCTTTAAGCCTCCAATTGCCTTAAGTCACCACTGTTGAGTCTGTGTTTATTCAAATTTAAATTTGAGTCAGGATTTAAATAAAGGTTAGAGATGTTCATAGTCTTGCAGTATTAAAATTTTCTCAATTTATATCTGACTAATTTATAAATTATGTTTTAATTAGATCCATTTCGTGACAATTTCGTACTGTGTATATGCGTATTTTGTTAGGTCATTTAATATTTAGCTAATTTTTTATTAATTTACCCATAAATTGAGTTTGACGGGTCTACTCATTTATTACTTAAACCTATCAACATTAAGTGAAAATCTATTAAATCGGTGTTGATTCTGCGTCAAACTCAACGGGTGTTGTATATCCCTGGAAAGCCCAACCATACAACAACCCCGCAACAAAAGATAAATTTAAAATAATAATAATAATAATCCACTGTGATGACAACTTACCTATTCAATGATTTTCGCACTTGATCCCAAAATGTAATGAAATTTTCAGCTCCAAGATATAATATACAAGAGTAATTACAATGAAAGATTATATCATTTGCTCTTTACGTTACCGAATTTGCCGCGCAGCCAATAGTTGAATTTTGAAAGCAACGTCAACCTAATAGGATGATGACAAAGATTTAAAAACTCAAAGACGCGCTTCTTTAGTCTTTATTTATTGTTGACAAAGATTTAAAAACTCAAAGACGCGCTTCTTTAGTCTTTATTTATTGTTGATTACGTTACGAAAAAATATTTATTAGTATTTGTAATTTTTTTTTAACTAATATAAATTAATAAATATAAAATTTTATTTATTTATTTTATTTTATATATATATATATATAGCAATACCATGCTGCTAAAATCATTGCATATTCAACTATAATACTGTGTGAGTATTGAAATGTATGTACAAGTAAAATATGTATATAATGTGTGTGTGTGTGTGTGTTAGAGTGTACGTGGGTGTTGGGTTTGTGAAATTTGGAAGAAAAAATTTGTTTTTTATTTTTAATCAAAGAAAGTATGTGTTAGGTGTGAAATTTAAAGGATGCTCAATCTCATAAATTCAAAAATTTAACGATTTATACAATAAAATAAAAGTATGTTTGGATTTTATCGTAGTCATATTTTTCTCCTCAAAATCATCATCAATCACTTAGCTTACTCATCATTCTTTTGTCACACTCACACGTCAAATCACAACACTAATTTCTATCACATATTTAATGATTTATATATTTTTTTTCTTAAAAATATCATACAATTCATTTCTATTATATATTTAATCATTTTATAGTTAATATATTTTTAAAAAATTTAATATAGTGAGATAGATTTTTTAGACGTTTGAATTTTATATTTTATCGTGCTTGAAGGCACGGATTATGATTAGTTTTATTATATAAAGAGATGCATTGCCGCCGTCTGATGGTCACAATACCCCCTCCCCCCCCCCCGCAAAAAAAAAAAAAAAAAACAAAACCCTCTATCTAGCCACATAAACCCTCATCTTCCCAATGAGTCATGTCTTTTCAGAGCTGCATAAAACCTCCATTACCAGAGCTTCAGTTGAGGAACTGATATTTGGAGTAACATTCGTGACAGCCTTTGGATTATTACAACTACCTTACCAGAAAATAGATGGAAACCCAGTTCCAACCATCATTTTTAAGAACCACCCTTCTTCTTTTCATGCATTTCTTCTAGCTCTCAATTTTGCCTTCACCGGGGCCGTACTAACAGTCTCTCTGCGTGCAGGGTATCCCAAGACAGCTAGTTATTGTCGTCAACTTGCTGTTGTTTGTGTAACAGCAGCTGCAGGCATATTCTTCTGGTCACTTTTATTATCAGGTGTTTAGGTTGTTAATTGGCAGCAGTTTCATGCCATCTTCTATGGTAGTTGTAAATTATCGAAGCAGTCCAAGTTCGGCTCGATTGTGGCTTGTTTAATATTTAATTTCGTTCAAACTGCAAAATAAATAGAATTTGAATAGGTTTGTAAGCTTGTTTTGTAAATAAGTTGAATGTAAATGTCTGTGAATCGGCTCGGTTTGGCTAGAATCGGGTTTTGTTTAATTAATAACAACCTTAAACTAGTTCCAGACGACATACTTCTCTCTCTCTCTTCTTTAATATAGTTTTGAAAAATTTTAATTTCCTATGTTTGATTTCTTGGTTGATCATACATAATGAATTTATGTTAAGAAATTAATTACTTTCGGATTGATTATTAGATTTTATGATTTTTTAGTGAGTCATTGAGCTCGATTTTGGTTAAAGTTCAGTTTATACACACAAGTTTTTGGCAAACCAAGGTTTAGCAAAGAATCTAAACTCTGTAGCAGAGTCCGGCCAGAACTCGTTCAATCACAACCAAGTAAAAATTGAGCATACTCAATCTCGTTAAACTCAGCTTGATGAATGCCCGTGTATACAACCACAGCTACATCCCTGTGCGATGGATTGGTCTACTGAGAATTGTGACTGCAAAACCGTGGGGGGAAACTGAAGAAGTTACCATGAGGTCAAGACCTGTGTGCGGCTTCTGGGAGTACATACAAATTCACGCGTTTAGAAATCGGAATCAAAGTCCTCTAATGTTTTTTATTCTCAATTAACAACAGGAGGAAATTTTTATACAGGGCATAAGAAATTAGAGCATTCTATTTCTGTAGGCATTTCGTTAAAAAGCGGATTGATTTAACAATTCTGTTTTTAATTTTTGAACAGAGAACACAAAAAGAGGGTGTTAAGCTCAATGAATTTTCTCTTAAAAGCGGGGTTATTTGTTATTGTTTTTAAAAAGTGTTATAATTTAGTAAAATAAGTTCAAAAGTACCGTATAGTGATAATGTTGTTTGAAATTTGTCGTATACTGATAAATAACTCCGCATCAGCTTGTGTTTTATTTTTGGAGAGGAAATATCCTCTAACCATGCGTTTTTTGTACTTGTGGTTACACTATAAATTTTAATTGCACGAGACATCCATAAACCACCATACCGGTCACATAGTTTTCATGCGGTCAAAAGGACTCGGACACAGTGTGTACGGATTTACATCTCGCTCTTTCATCGATTACAAGCCATTGCCGAGAAGGGAAACTTGTAAGGATAGAGTCGGGGTATGATCATATAGTTTTTTCTTCTCCTCGCTTTTTTCTTTGGGAATTCGAAGGAGATTGGAATTTGGATTTCCTCCACTGTTTGTGTAAGTATAATGTTTACACTAATGTTATTGAGACTTAATTGAAGGACATTATTTTGAGACATAATGAGTTGTCCCCAATAAAATGATAATAAAATATATTTAATAATGTGTCTTATTGTGGTATTAATGAATTCATTATCAAATCATTGGTGACACCTCATTATGTCCTCAAATTATGTCCCAATAACATTGCTCTATTGTTTAATTGCTGCTAACACAGGGTGCAGTTCAATAATTTTATGAAACATTTCTGCAGCTAATCTAATTAGGTTAAATATCACAATTAAACTTTAAATTTTGTCTTATGTTATAAAATAACTCCTAAACTTTTAATTGTCTCAATTAATTCCTCAATTATCAATTTTGTGTCAATAAAATCCTTCCATCAATAGAACAAATGGAAGCAAACCAAGTGTTTGTCGTGACATGTCATGTGTTACTATTTGTTCTAATGGCTAAAATTGACGAAATGACTTAATTGACACAAAATTAATAACTAAGTAATTAAATTGAGATAATTGAAAGTTTAAGGACCATTTTAAAACAAAAGATCAAGTTTAAGGACTAATTATGATATTTATCCATGTAATTATAATATGCCAATATAACAATACTGCATAGACCAACTTTTTTATTAATTGTTCCTCATGATTTCTGTAGACCTTGGATTAGTTTAAGGGCAGAGCCGAGAGTTCTTCATAGTGGGGGCAACCATTATATTAAAGAGAACGAGTAGAGGACCATCATCAATACTGGTAGTGCTAATAAATAGTTAATTGGCTAGGCAATGGTCGGATTTGAATAGGATTTCAATTGATCCGAAATCCAATTTGAAAACTAGATTCGAATTCGATTTGGTTATCCAACAAATTTAATTTTAAAATTCATATCCAAATTTTTTAGAAATATAAAAACCAATCTTATCCAAATAATTTTTTAGATTCGAATTGTAATAAAATATATTTTAATTTTAATATAATATCATTAAACAATCACTCAATTTTAATTAGTATATATATATATGCGTACATCTATATAATAAAACAGGAGTGTGTTTGAATTTTATCTCAATCATATTTTTTCCCTTAAAACCATCACCAATCACGTACCTCACTCATCATCCCTTTATCAAACTCAAACATTAAATCACATCACTCATTTCTATTACATGTTTCACATCACTCATTTCTATTACATGTTTAATCATTTATATATTTTCTCTCTAAAAATATCACATCACTCATTTCTATTATATATTTAATTATTTAATATTTAATTAATTTATAGTTAATATATTTTGAAAAAATTTAAAATAGTGAGATCGATTTTTTTGAGGATCGAATTTTATATTTTATCGTACCTTCAGGCATGAGTTATAACTAGTATATATATAAACTATAGTGGTTCATAATTGAACCCAAATTTGTTATATCCATATTTGTATAAATCTTTTTTTTTTTTACCAACTTTTTAATAGTAGCAAATACTAAATAATTTTGAAAATTTTAAAATTTCACATAAAACTCAATATGAACATTATAAATGAAGAAGGGATGTTAAAAAATAATTTTATATTTTATATTAATCATCTTTTTAGATTATTCGACAATGGCGGTCGGACAGATCTCTTTAAACATCTATACTTATCTTGCTTAGCATTAAATACTTGCGCCGGCACAAAGCCGGCAATGCTTGGAAGGTTAAAGAATGACAACTTGCACAAAGTGCTTCGAGATGAAGCCCTCTCATCTCATTGGTTTGATGACATAGTGCACGGCAGAGAAGTTTCCTAGAAACTTACTTGCAGTGGCGGTTTAGCAGCCTTTATAAAGGCTTTAGGCCCTGTTTGTTTGTCGGGGTTTGGGTGATTGGGAGGGAGGGTTCTAAGGCGAATAGTTCGATAGACGTCGTAATTTTGTGTTTGATTAGCACTCTTAAACTTAAAATTTATATCTTAATTTGTAAGTGGTTTGGTATATTAAACTCACATACATGGGGTTGGACAAATCCACGGGGGTTCATATATCTTAGCCTATTAATTTTGTCAAATAATCCTTGTATCTTTAATAAAATATTTTATTTAACAATGTTACAAAATTTAAATAAAACTAAAAAAATTACAACTTAAATGTATATCATTTTTTGAATAAATGGATCTCATCAATTTTTTCAATAGGGTCCATTCATCTTACACACATCCAATGGATAATATGTATTTGAGTTTTAACTTTTGGTTTTCATGTAATATTTTTCTATTGACTAATGTTATTTAACATAATTTATTGACATAATAATGTGACTGCATTGAAACTATTGGATCAATAGCAAGTTTTAATGTTTGATGAGATTTACAGTGAATTCAAATGTCATAGTGAATTAAGTCAGCAAATTAGGTCCCAATAACATTGCTCTTTCCTATTTTATCTATCAAATCACATCCCAACCCCATCCCTCATTACTCTTTTCTATAATTAAACAAACATAAGTATGAATTGAATTGATTAACTGGTAATATAGTCATTTACAAAAAAAATGTGTTGATAATTGTGATAAATTTGTAAGTCCCGTATGTATATATGTTATTTATCAAACATGAGTATGAATAAAATTCATATATGAATCTCATGTATGTATATAAAGGTGGAGGTTGAGTTTAGAAGAGTTTGATAAAACCAATATAATCCCTCACCCCAAAACCATGCAAACTTGCCCTTAATGTGTAGACCAATGTTATAAAATTTAAATAAAACCTAAAAAGTTATAATTTAAATTAATATCATCTTTTGAATGAGTGAGTCTTATCAATTTTTTCAATAAAACTCACTCATTTCATACTCATCTAAGAGATGATATACATTTAAATTTAAATTTTTAGATTTTATTAAAATTATGTACTACTATTTTATGCATGTAATCTAACGAGACTGTGAGCATTTGAACGAGTGAAGAGAAAGAGAACGGCATACAGCAAGCAAGAATCATAGGTTCTATTTTTGTGTAATCATTACACTTTATAGAAAATTCAGTTTCGTTTCCCTTCGTCTCTAAAGTCTACGCTTCATATTTCTTTATTTCCCTTGTTTACATTTTTTTCCCTCGGTACTTGGTAAGAATAATCCTCCACAACTTCATTGGATTTGGTAATCCTTTTGAAAATTAAAAAACAAGCACCAGCCGGAATCAGCATACCAAAGACAGTTCCGAGAATATATCCCAATATGATTGGAATACGTCTTGGTGAAAAAAGCGAAACTTTGAGAAACACACAGGAATTTTGAGACATAACTTCACCACTCATGTCCTTAAGAGAAAAGACTTCATATAGTAAATGGCAAACTCCATTTGAAGAACCCCAATCAGACATAAACACAACAGCCTTGCAAGAACAGTTGTTCAAACATGTGTTCTTACAATCCTCCACCTCTATTCTCTCATCATCGTTTAGGTTTGACTTGAAACCAAAGTAAGTTGTGTTCTTCAACTCCAAAAGACTATAATGTTGAGAATCATAACAAGAAAGAGGGGTTAATAGGGAACAACCATGGTTGGGCTGGCTAAAATCTGTTTGATTGAAAAAGGATTTTTCGCCCGGAACGGGTTCAGCACACCTGCACTGCTCATTTGAACAAATCCCGTATTTTCCACACACCATAGGATATAAACATCTCGAAACATCTCGAGACAGGAGATCCTCAACTGGTTCCCAGCCTATTCCTCGTCCTGTCCACCCATAAACACTTAAATGACCATTGGGATCCAACTTGACGAATTGGGTTGTTGCCGCCGGAGAAAATTTGAATGAACCGAAGCTTCCATTCTCGAGTTGGACAGAGGTATATTGGTTTTCATCTTCAAAATATACCTGTCGTGGGTTGGACTCTATGTAAGCAACCAAACTTCCATCGTCAACAGCAAGCGAATGTATACCTCGACTCGGATTTGATGTCGATAAGCTAGCTGTCAGCTTCTGGCTGGAAAATAATTGCTGCCCGAAGACTAAGGAGTCTGTCGGGTGATCAAATGACTGCCAAACCCTCGCATTGTTCGAGTCGAAAAGCACAAGGTTTCCCATTTCTGTCAAATGCATGCCAGAAACCTGCTTACCACTTGTGTTTGTTGACCAAACAAAGGTTCCATCTTCATCTTCCAACACCAAATCTCCATCATCTGTGAGTTTCAGCACTGCATTAACATCAACAGGGCTGTCTCGATTAGCGGACCAGACGACTGTCGGGGAAATTAACATGGAATCATTAGTACCCCAATAATCTTGATCCGGGGAGGTAATAACAACAGAGAAGAGGCATTTGTCGTTACTATAGTTTTGAAACTTTTCGCAATAGAAGCCACAGAAAAATTTTGGGGCAAAGCCGCCTCCAATAAGAACAATACTAAATGCTGTGAAATCTATGTTTGTTTTATTCTCCAATGGCAAGTTGGTCCAAGAACTTGACAAGTTGGCCATCAAAACATTTACAGGTTGGGCAACGATCATGTGAGTAGAAGAGACGAGAAGAGCAAGAAAGAGAATAGAAGTACAAAGAGACTGGTCCAGTCCCATATCTTCTTTAGATGATCACTTCTTGTATATCTCTCAAAAAATGCTTGAGGAGGAGGAGGAAGAAGAAGATCAAAGAATTAAGGTAGTCGGCAAATACATGATAACTCTGGCAAGTAAATCAAGATTTTTGCTTAGAAGTCACCGACACTCATTTAGATATTAATGTTTGGCTCTTTCCAAAGTTGTTTTCCTGGCAATAATCGACATGATAGAAAAACAATTTTTGGTTTAACATCTTCTATTCGTCTATCTTATCAATTTAGCTATTCAGTTTGTACCATTATATTAACATATTAGCAATTGATCGTATCTAAAAACACTACCTAACAAACAAAAAAATTTAAAATAATTAACTATGTCCAACTACATAGTCTAACACAAAAAATCTCTCAATCAAAAAAAAAAATTGCAATGGACCCATGCCTGATTCAAGTCCATCGCTTCACATGGGTTAATTGAGATTTTGATCTCAAGCTCAACATAATAGAGATCAAAATTTTATAAACCTAATTTCTAAAACAAAAAATAGTGTGTTTGAATCTAGCAACAAACATTTTTTACTTTTTCGAAGAGAGTGCAATCAAACTTCCAATTCCAAAGAGAAAGCAAAACGAATTCAATCTAGAAAGAATCACACTTTTTTTCATGTGATATCAAAGAAAGTTGGCATAAAGTGATTGCAATTTAAATGTGGAAATGCCATGCTCATTCAATACGCATGTTGAAATATATAAGCAGTGATGTAAGATATTATATAGGTAACAACTAACCCAATTTCATGCCCCCAAATCAAATTTTCTACAGATTCTAACCAAATACCCACAATCCATGCATTGAATTTTCAACATTTTTAATCTTAAAAGTGAAATCAAATTCTCAAAAACTATTCTTTTAAACAAACACATTTAAAAGGGTTAGATATCAAACACATGGTTTGATAAATCCAAACCATCCATTTCAGTGGGTTATGTAACCAACTAGCATAGAAAATACATACTCTCTTCGTTCCTAAATATCTGTCGTTTAAGATTTTTGTACGGAGATTAAGGAAGCTATTATATAACTCTAATATGAGTAAAAAATAATTGCACAAGATTAAAATATCTTTATTCAATACATATTGAGAAGGAAAGGAATATGAAAGACACTTAATCTCCACCAAATCTAATGCATTGAAAAGTTAGGGGCAAATTTTGAAAAAAAAATATTAATTATGTTTTGATTTCATTAAACGACAGATATTATGGAACAAAAAAAATTGTGTAAAACGACATATATTTAGGAATGAAGTACAATAGATTACCATGCAAGTATTAAACCAGTATTGACAAAAGAATCCAACAAATATAAATAATACCTAACAGCAAGTTGTAAGAATCTCTCAATAGGAAGAATCAAAGATGTACAAAACCAATGTTCATGTACCAATTTTTCTAGACTCATGGTTTGACTAAATTAAACCCATAATACACAAACTGAACAAAAGAATAACTAAATTAAACCCATAATTATTTGTATATAATTAATAATCTACGGCAAAGTGGGAAGGTTGTTCGACACTCGTGTGCATGATTGATAGCTTGGCAAAGATGCTCTATTCATGTAATCCGCAAAAGCGTCCAGCATTCCTTGCAATATACCATGCCCATTAACACAAATCAGTCATCCTAAAGACAGCTTAATCAAGTTCAAGCAGAAAATATTGGACCCCCATGAGTGAAACAAGATTGGCGATAATCTGTCGTTAGACTAGAGATCAAATATAATCCCGGTAGAAAAAAAAAGTGATGTAAATACCGAAAGAAATTGACATGATGTTGTAAGGGCGAGTAAGTATTTGATATCATTCTCTAGGCCCTCATGAACTATTATTTATAGACATGCAAGACACTCATTCAAGTGAATGAACATACCCTTTGGAACGGTTGCAACTCTTGACACAATCGCAACTCTTCTAAAGGCTATGTTGGTTTATATTTAAACTACCTACGCGTCTCTCTCTATGATGTTTCTCCTCATGCATGGGAAAATAACCGCCAATCATTTCATCCATTCATGAGTTACATGTCCAAGTGTGACCACCCATAATATATAAACCAAAATCAAGAAACCCTACTTGCCGAGCTCAAAACAGCCGTACATTAAGCTAGATATGTGACTCTCTAGATCTGTGATTCTCTTTTGGGTCGTGCTTTGGGAGGTGATTGTTTCGTTTGGTGGAGCTTCGAGTGAGAGGAGCAGAGAGGCAGAGACAAGAGAGAGAGAGAGAGAGAGAGAGAGAGAGGGAGAGAGAGAGAGAGAGAGAGAGAGTTACTGGGTGTACGCCTTTGATTTTGGGCATGAGAGTATTTAGACCGCATTGGGGCGCCCGCAATATTAAAATCTGGAAAAATTACACTCAAATCCTTCAAATTTATCACTTAATCACTTAGACCTCAAATATTTAAAATGTTACACACAAATTTCCTAAAATTTATAGGCGCGTAACATTTAGACCCTTACCGTCATTGTCTATTAGTATATCCATTAATAAATTATACATAAATCACTTAAAGTTTATAAGTATATAACACTTAGATCTTTTAAGTTTAAAATATTACATTTAAACCAAAACTATTTCAATTAAAGATAAAATATCAAATATTTTAAATTTAAAACTAAAATTCATGTTCTATTATGTCATTTATTAAAATAAAATTTAAAATAAGAATTCATTTACAAAAATCATAATTAGTACTATTAATGTCAAAATTTAGACGACCTACACGTTAATTTGTTGGGCTTCGATCACCTAAAAAAAAGTCGGAGGCCAAAGGGAACTTCGAAAGTCGACTCTTTGAGACCAGAGTCAGTAAGTGACTCAAAGATATTAACTGCATATAGTAATCAGTATAAATATGTCAAAAAATTCAATTCAACACTCATTTGCATATAATTATACTGTCTATTAGAATAAAAATTAAAAACTAAATAAATGGTCAAACTATAATAGACACAATATTTTTCAATCTTTAATTGGGACAATTTAGTTGTTTAATAAATTTTATAAGTTCCATAACTAATAAGGAGTTTAAATGTAATATTTTAAATTTAAGATATCTAAGTGTTATACATTTATAAACTTCAAGGGTTCTAAATATAATTTATTAATAAACATTGACGACAGGAGTTTAAATATTACACGCGTATAAATCTCAAGGGATTTGTATGTAATATTTTAAATGTCAAGAGGTCTAAATGATTAGTTGACAAATTTCAAAAGATCTGAGTATAATTTTCCCTTAAAATTTTTAGGCCAGGTTAAAATTTTTTAGAATCAATCTGGTGCGTTAGATCAATAATTTTAAAATGATCTAAGATGTCAATAGCTTGATACATATTAGAATAATCTCGTCTGTCGAATGAAACCTTCTTTTATCACGAATTGATCTAAACTACTTTTTGTCTTAAAATTTAAAATTCGTTGCACTTTATTATATAGATTCTCTCGTGTAAAATTGAGATTCTATTAAGATTCCATTAACGAATAGGTCAATTCCTGCCAAATGTAACGTTTGATTGATTATAGAATCCCACTGTTGGGTTTTTACCATGCTTCCTGTCAAACTTTTATTCACCCCTATAAAGATATTTTGTCCTTAGTATAGATATATGCATTATTCGAAAGTTATAAATTGTAATAGTGACTTAGAAATATGGATAAATAATGAATGGTATATGCTTAGTATTACTTTGGTCTATTTCAATTACATCATTGATACATGAGACAAATATAATAACAAATTAACACAGAACTCTTACCCGTTAATTATGTGGACTTAAAATAGCAATTTGAACCGAATTATAATGACACGACTTGAAGTTGAGGGACCAAATCGAGATATGGTGCATATTAGGGGACACCGTTGTGTTATTTCTTTAATTTTATGAGTTTTCCACCCAAACAAAATACTCGGTTACACAATGATTTGATACAGTTCGGATTGATTGAATGTTAAATTAATTTCAACTATTGCCTATCCCACCAACATGAATGTTGTAGTATGCTATAAATTCTGGATACATGTCTATAAGAGGACTAATGGTAAGAGTTGACAGCTTACTTGCTAGTAGAGTCCAACAAGGTCCAGCAAGGTAGCTACGGACAACTGTCGTTGCAGCCAACCAATTACGATGACAAGACTCTACCAGCACCGTGAAAGGCTAAACACATCCCTGTCACATTAGAAATGGCAAGACGGCACCACAATGGTAGGGGGCAATTTTGGCTTGATTTGTCTCCTCCATTGCAAAAAAAAAAAAAAGACACAGAGTTGGGACTTCACAGCGGATGGAATTAATATCCTCAACCTACTAGATACCATTACTCAACCGGCCCAGTGGACTAAGTGGAGGGGTCTCCACGTAGGGACAAGACAACGTGATACTCCTCAAAAAAGAACTAAGCAACGGGAGTGTACGAGCATGATTATCAACCTCAATCTCGGGTAGAGTCTCAAAAATTTAGTCTACTCGAACATGTCTTTCAATATATGGCTCACTGCCACTGGGACATACTTGATTGGGATCCATAGAGACTCTTAAGGTAACTGGAGTAATTAATTCGGATCAACATATGAGATAATAGGACTTGTGGATTAGTGACTAAAGGACCGAAACTACCTTGGATTTACTTCATTAGGCACCTTGACAAAGATCTCGAGGAAAGGTTTAGGGAGGGAAGGGAGGATCATGAGTAGGAACGCGTTAGGGGCATTGCGTACATGACCTTCTCCGGGTCATGGTCTCACGATGGCCAATTGCGATCGTTAACTTTGGTAGACCCCTTTTGCCTTGGCTGTCACATTCCTTCTCGAGTGTTGTATTCAAACTGTGTTTGGGTAAACGTCATATCAGCCTAGTTACAATAATGTTACACTGACCAAATTTTAAGATCAAATAAAGAGTCCAAATGACATGAAAGCTGACTTGAGGTTCTTTATTTGATTTCATGTTATTTG